ACACACACACACACATACATGTGTGTGTATCAAATTAATAACTTACATGAGATGATTATTATTTTTCAATTCGTGTGCTATTTGATTTTAGTTTCCTATCGAAGTTTCCTTTATTATGCTGATTGTAATATGTTGGAAACTGCTCTTTTTTTAACTAAACACTCAAAACACCCTTTTAAATCATAGTTGTTAACTTCCATACGGGCTGAAACAACCGGATTCATGTTTAACAAGTTTCAAAAAATTGACATGAAGTGTAGGATATACGTCCAAGAAGTGTATGACAAGTATTTTAAGTTAAAATATATATCGAATAATTGAGTATATGTCTGGGTAAATGTATGCACACATCCAAGGAATGTCCATGAAGTTTGGGTACCGATAAGTTTCTTTGGTACGTGTTGGGTACAGTACCTAGGTTACATAGGGTCATGTCCACGGCAAGAAAAACATAAGCAATAGACCACTTTGAAGTATCTAAAGGAGAGTTAGTCAGTAGGAAGAACTAAATTGGTCATATACATGAATAAGGGAGTAAGTAGATGATGCTCGTATACAAAAATGCTCGTGTTCCATCAGACAACATCTATCCAGACCAGACTGCTCTCTCATGTGCAGGCAGAATCAGTACGAGGTTAATTAGAACCTCAATATGCCCATAGGTAGGTAAGCTTATCTATTTCACACTAATTTCTCTTTCTGTTATAAGTACAACCTATAGACAATCAAGCACTATATGAGGTAAAAACAAATTTTTTTGTTCATTTTTTTGTTTTTTGAGAATGTGCTAAACAAATTCCCCCTAGCACAATTTAGATTTTCAAATATCACGTCAACTATATGCAATATTAGTGACCACACTGCAGAAATATTCTGGGTTAGTTTTGAGAATGCAACATTTTTTTTTTTTTGTTCAGACCTTACTAAATTATTTAGCCTACAGGATCCATATCCATAAATTGTGTGGGCAGTGTACATATTTGCTTCGACAGTGACTCTCCAGCATGCCCCCTTGCGACCACCTGTCCCTCTACTCCCCCCTCCCCCCCTCCTCCCCAACACCTCGCATTCTATTATGAACTATAAATAGTTTATTAAAATAAGCAAGGTAGATTAGTCATGTTTTTAGAAAAAGATTAAGGATTTTAACATAAAGTCTGGATATATACTCAGAATATTCTCTAATAGAAATGGAAGGGGAAAATTAAACAAATCCCAATGTAAGCATAAATTAGTGAAAATTTAGATTTGGGGATAAATATGACGTATATGATGGATATGATGCATGTGTGCGTGTGCGTGCGCGTGCAAATAAAAACACCACAATTTATAGATTCCTAACCCAATTGTTATAACTTATGTGATGGAAAAATAATATCTTCAGCAATAGAACAAATGCAATGAGTTGGAGCTCTGCGTGACTTGACCATTGCTCGGATGCAATGGGTGGATGAGCTGATGATGATTCCGAAATTGATAAACCAGGCTACCATGAACCTGACCAACACCATTTTCGATGAGTTTTTTTCTCGAGTTTTGATTTTGTATTCTTAAATCAGTTAGTTTTAATCTATTTGTGGCAACTTGTTTGGGCTAGATCCGGTCGAGCTGGGGGCTTTTTCGGTGGAAAGTCGGTGGCTTTCTGCATTGTGTCGGTTTTCGGCTACAAGCCGGAGATTTTCGTTTCACGCTGCAAAATTGAAAATTGGCTGCAAGATATCACCTTTTTTTGTAGAATATCTCGTCTCTTAGGCATTTTTTATTGCGTAGAAGGTGCATTGCTCTCCAAAAGATGCAATTGTACCTCGTACTCTAGCGCGCATTTCTATGGAAGCAAGAAGATTTGGGAGCGAACGGGTTCAATTTTGATGAAGTCAAGAGCTAAATTCACAATTTATAGATATCTCCAAGTGTGTGCGTGCGCGTGTGTGCGTGTGCGTGCGCGTGCATGCATGTGCAAATAAAAACACCACAATTTATAGATTCCTAACCCAATTGTTATGTGATGGAAAAACAATATCTTCAGCAATAGAACAAATGCAACCCTCACATGAGTTGGAGTTCTGCGTGACTTGACCATTGCTCGGATGCAATGGGTGGATGAGCTGATGATGATTCCGAAATTGATAAAAATACCTTTTTACCCTTTTTAATTTAGGGGCACCGCAGCGAACGGATGGACCGTACAGAACCGGCCCTTCATGTGGGGCCAGATAGAATC